GGGAAGAAAACAATATACAATTCTAAAGTATAATGGTAAATTGTCCCAAGCCAGCAGCTAAAAATGTCATTATTGACATCTTTTTAGCAAAAGCATCTAGCTAGTGTTTTTATTGTCTTGGACATGGTACAGATTGTACACTGAGGAACAGTTTATCAAGTGTATGTCATAAACCATGGAAAAATTCAAACTGAACAGTAAAAGTAGGAGCAGAAAATGGAAACTGTTACACAACCTTAACTGTAACAAGTCACTGCCAGACATCCACTACAATAAAAGCCCTACTACAGAGCGGCATAAGCCACAGACAGCTGGGAGCTGATTTTCAGATAAGGATTCTATCCTGCAACATGCATGGTTAGAAGAGGAACACAATTAAATCGATCAATGCATCAAAAACACCAAATTTGAAAAAGCATTAATAACCTAACCGACATGTTGGCCTGGGTATGGAAGGTAATTTATTGCACTATTTGGACTTATGACAGGATTTGTCACAACAGATGGCAGTACATTTTAGATTAAAACGTATGTGAGACACTTGATTTTCCCTTGGTTTTGCCACACCCCCCCTCACCTCTTTTCAATTTTCCTTGGAATCCTTATTACTCCTATTGCATTATACTGCTCTGACCTTCATTCCAAAAGACAAATAATAATCTGCTTCTCTTTTGAGCAGACAAAGCAGAATGGGAAAACTCTGTATGCTGAATTTTATATGTTTTTTTTTTTAGAAACACAGCTCTTCACTCTGAAGAAAACTAATTGAAGGACTATGTCAGCAGTGAAGATGGTGCTACCAAAAGTGTGCTTCTCAGGAGTTTGAAGAGGTGCAAAGCTGAATCAACATAATTTGGATGCCAGAACTGCGGCTTCTTTGGTATGGCTCGTTTCACTTTTGTCACTGCGCCTGATTTGTTGGTAAAACTACGTCCACGATAGGAGTATTTTGTGTGCTCTTATCTCCACTGAGGCCAACATTTTCACTTAAAAGCCGTCTTTGAATCAAGACACCTCCATATAAACATAACTTGACACTTAGAAGTTGACTCCTGAGATAAATGATGCCCAGAAGAACCCAGCACTTTTAGTAATTGGGCCACTTTAAATTGTGTACCTAAAAGCTCATATTCAGAAAGCTACAAACCGAATATTGCAGGAGTTGACTTTTGGATAGGAAGTAACAATCTTAAACAGAAATTAAAGACTTGATTTCTTTATACCTCAAGAAGCGGGGGGGCATTCATGGTCCTACAGTGGAAGTGACAACACCTAGCCACCTTAGTGATGGAATTCCTGTGCCATCAATCCATGAAGCCTAAATGGAAATGATGCCTGACTGCTTTGTTTTTCCGGGAACAGATAAGCCCTGAGACTGTCACCTATGTGAAGAGGCAACTGTTTAGCTACATATTTTAACACAGCTAAGCAGTTAGAGCCTTAACTTGTCCAAGTCCTGTCTTGTACTGGAGGGATTTGACTGCACTGCCCCTGGACCAGGCATCTTATCCAGCCTGCTTTTCCAGCAGGACAGGCAACTCAAAGCAGTCTCCCTGGCTGTACTTTTTTCTGTTAAACCACGTGATCAGTCAGTATAACTCAAGTGCCACAACTTACCATTTCATTCCATCTGCAAATGTACTCGAGAATCATTTTATATTTCCTTCCAGGTAACTGATAAAGCTATTGAACTATATTATGCCAAGAACAGATTCCTCTGAGCTCCCACTAGAAGCAACCTTTGAGATGAATATTCCCCAACTCTTATCACTTTTCAAGATGCTTCTGTTAGCCCTTTTTAAATCCATTTGGTAACCCTGGATTACACTGATTTTACATAGTGTCATTTAATTTTGTTTTTAACCACAGTGTCAACAAGACAAAGTAAATGTCGTAAAGTAGTTTAAGTGCATTATTGTCAGCACAGCTATCTCTTCAACTTCATTTGTCATCTTGGAAAAAGCAGCATCAAGTTTGTTTGACATGATCTATTATCCATAAAAACTTGCTGGCTGGCATTAGGCATGATGTCATCTCTTCATTTTTTTGTTGGAGGTATCTAGTTTCAACCTTCCAGTGATTTTGCTTGACCTACAGTTACCTGGATCGTCTTGTTTAACCTTTAAGAATTCTGGCACAACATTTACTTTTTCCAGTTCACTGGAACTCCCCTTAGTATGCCAAGATTTGTTAAAAAGCAACAATAATGGTTTAGACAGTTCAACTCCATTAATACTCTCCTATGAAAGCTTTCTAGACTGACAGAGAATCAAAGAGGAAACATAATTATTGAATTTCACATCTAACTTCAATTTTAGAAGATCCTACTAGAATGACCTGCCAGCATTTTCATAATGAAGTGTAAAGCACCCATCAGTATCTTTGCTATAATGTTTCAAATAATCTCAAGTGCTTCTATGCCTTGCAGCCACAAAATACTTGAAATATTATAGGGACAGTTTGCTTTTTATATGGTTTTTCCACCATATGTATTTCCTTTTGTTGTTTCTCTCTTCCTCCCACTACTTGCCTACGTTTTATGGGAAAGCCTTGAATTTTTATAGGATAAGATTAAAGGACAGATACCCGAAAAAAAAAAAACCCAAAACAAGAACCTTTGTATGGTCCTCTCAGCAACCTTTATGACTGTACTTGATACAATTCTTAGAAGCTTTGGGTTCAGCTAATGTTAGTAAATAATCAATGTATTAACCTTGTTTTTGGCAAACTCCTTCAAACTGTAGGGGTTTGAATTTAAACTCTCTTTAAACACTAGCCCTCTAAAATTGGCATGAATTATTTCTGAAGCTATTGATTAAACGTCTTTCATCTGCTCTCGCATCTTACTGCACTTATACTAGCAGGTGGAAAGGCAAGATGCTGTATAACAATTTGTCTTATTACCCTACTTTATCTGAAAATACAGATGTAAAAATTTATTTGGAAAAAACAATGACAGTATGAAAGAAGAGTCAAACTAAATTTGAGAAGCTTTTAAAACAGATTAGTGGATTCATCATTGGTTATAGCTCTTACTTGCTGAATGGAATTACTACCAGACTGTCAGGTGTATGTATCTACCAAATCAATACCTAGCATTTAGATTTCAATATGCTCTGTTTGAAGCATATTTGAATATTTATTTAAATATTTAACCTCAACTTCTGCTCTCTTATATGGGTAAAATACAACAGAACAGTGGAAATATAATGCTTTTATAAATGCTTTTAGTATGCGTGGATTACGTAAGAAAAACATTTGTCCCTTTACAGAAGAAGATAAGAGCAGTATAACTTACATTTAATATGAAAATTTGTATGTGAATTTCTCCCTGAAACGGTAAAAGTGATTGCTTGCTTTTGGGAGACGGGCTACCTAGAAGAACTTTTTCCTGACATTAGGCTGATACTGCCATTCTTGACTGATTTTTTAAACCCTCCTTCTGAATCACTACACAACTCTAACCCATCTACTGATGTATCAAAAGGAATAAAAGAGGCTGACTTTCTTTTTTCATATCAGGAAAAGTAACTGTATTAATTATCTGTTGTGTAGAATCTCCTACAGTACAAACATAACATAAAACAACTTCAGGATTCTTTAGCCTTCCATTCTGTCCACTGGGGCACCGCTTTAATGTTCAAAAGCACCTTCCAGTGTGGTACCCAATAGCTTATTTTTAAAGATAAACTTTGGATGGAATTATAGTTTCTTTTGTTCCTGCCCTTCTTTCATCTAATCACATGCCACAACTAGAATATTTTCTTATAAGCTCCATTATTAGAGAGAAGAATACAATGTGAGAAAACAGCTACTTCCACAGGCCATAACTGGACTCTCAAAGAACTGTTTTAATCCTGAAAAAGTATTATAAATCTTCTCAATTCCATTGGAGGATCCTTAAATAGGGATTTGTTCCTGAGATTGAAACAGTCTTGGAAGTAGAAGAAGCAAATCAAAATAATGTATCTAATGAACGCTAGTTATAACGATCAACAGAAGCAGGTTAACCCAGTATCTTCTACCTGCTGGGATTTTGGTGTCCTGTCCAAGACAACTCTCAAGGCTGGAGGGCTCATACTAAAACTGGTTTCAAGTCTTCTGACAGGAAGACACGTATTTTTCACAGATTTTGTTTGTTTGTTTGTTTGTTTGTTTCAGCATATGAAACACCAAATATTTTTAGTCAATTCTACTTTTACCAACCCAGAACATAGAGCCAGTACCAAGTAAACTGGGATCTTGGCTACAAATCCTTTGTCACTGTATCCCACTTCCCCTATCATCTCTGCACTACCAGAACATTTTCCATTAGTGAAGAGAACTTGCAGTCAAAGAACAGAATCAAGACTATGAAAACAAAAGAGACCCTAAATTTACATTTCAATTTCCCTTTTTCTTTTTAGAAGGAAAGATGAAGCTTTCCTTCTAAAAGGAAAAGCCCTGTAAAAACATTATTTTCTGATATGAAAACAGCTAGACCTGGAAGTGATACTAAGACAGAGCCACACTTGACACTGCAGCTCAGTTTACATACATAATTACCGTAATGAAATTCTAAAACATCAGATGCTTGCACCCGAATTTCCATTTACAGCCAATATAAAACAAATTTAGACAATCCCTCTTTACTTAATAAGTATCTGAGAGATCTGTTTCAAGCAGCTTAGAAAAAAAGATACGAAATCCATGTGCTTTGTGCCTGTGATGCCAAAAATTACTTTGGCTGAGATGATGCAATTCTACAAAAACATTTGTTAACATAATGTTATTTATCTTCTTGTTTTGCTTAACTGCAATATTTACTTTGTACCTGTGTATGACTGCACCTTTATTATGTTCAAGACCATGATTTCAAAGAAACACAAGTTTGTGCAGGAAATATTTAGTCTATCAGTCTGAAACACTCAACGGAATATTCCTAAGGCAACACCATGCAAAAAGCCAATTTTCCCATTTCAGCTATGACCTGAAGTTGTGAGGAGAGACAAGAAATTTACCCGATTCCTGGAGATAGCGATACACCAAGAAATTCACTTCGTCACTGGTTATGCTCATCTTAGCCCAACCTCAATATGATGAGGTTTACGAGAAGTATGATCCACGCTCTGTTCAAAGGGAAAGAAAAGAACAGGGTTTGTTTTATCTTGATTTACTATGAAATTTGTTATTTGTTAAGTTATTTAAAGATCTCATAGTTATTAGAGCTGTTATATCCCAATGTGAGGCACACATTAAACATTGTAAATCAAGTACTCAAGCTGTACTGTACCTTTTATTATAATTAAAGAGCAGTAGTTAACATGTATGAGCGAGTCAGAGGGAGCATTTTCAATCTTGGAAGCCTTTGCAAATGTTAACTCTTTTACTTCTGCAGCTTTACTACAGGTTCTTAGGACACTCCTTTCTACTGTGTGAACGTTTTCTTTTCAGAACTGCTGGCAATTACAATCACGTATAACACGCCAAATCATAACTTTTTTGCAGCCCCAAATCTGTAACCTAATTTTCTATCCGGAGTTCATCCACTGAACAGACGGGTTATTTCCTTAAAAAATCCTGCTACGCAGTGAACTTAAAAGTTCCCCTAAAATAGAAATAAATCTAAATTTAAGATGAGATTAGAAAGTTTATGAGGTGGGAGGGGGAAGAGGAAAAAAGAGAAAAAATGCCATATACCTTGTGCCAACAAGGAATACAAATATCCTGGCATTATATAAAGTTACAATGTCTCTGCTGATTAATGGTGAGCAAGAATTAAACTTCAATTATTCACTTCAGTATTCGTAACCTTTAGGATGACAGTTTTACATTACTATTTTGGGACTATACTCTGATAATAAAAACATTGGTTTTAGATGATAAATTTGTTTTGAACATTTTCCATTAAATCTTGATGATTCATTTCTGTTTGGGAATCTGACTTAAGTAGTTTGGTTTTAAAAGCCGTAAGTACTTCTCAGACATACACTTTGCAACTTTGTCAGCCACCATAGCTGTAACTAATCATGTAAAGATCTGGACGCAGCAGCACACGCTGCGCTCCCCTTGCGGATGACAAATGAAAGACCGTAGGCGTGTGCCGTTTGTTTCAATTTCCCGTATGTCTCCTCTTGGCAAGCGGAAAGGTCTTTGTTCATCGAAAACCTCTTCAGTAATTCCTGTTGCCTAAAGTAGCACCTGCTACTGCAGGCAATGCTGATCGACTACAAGTTTCCCTTGCTGATGATTTAAACCAGCAGGTCACTCATGACTGTAACAGATGTCTCTGCATATTTATGTAAATGGAGGTCTTTCGAGCCCCGGTAAGCCTTTTATTCTCCTGGGCTGCTATATTTCATCAATGGCACGGATGCTGGTTTTCCGTAAGAAACCATCGCTTGCTAATTTGGGAGACATCTTCCTCAAGTATTCTAGTTTTTATTATTACAGTTTGTACTTCACAGAGAACAGGGAGAAACAAAACACTGAAAATCGTGCAGTCTTGGTGAGGAAAATTTCATCTACTTTGGAAAGGATGATCATTTTCTGCCAAGATTCTGGCCGAGGACAACATCAGCTCTATCCAGCACCCAGTCCTGTCACACATGCCACGTATTGCCCTGGGAAGCCATTCAGTCTCTTTTCCCTTCAACCCCTCATCTGTAAAATGGGCTCAACTTTCTCTGTCCTGGATCAGGAGACTGGAAGCACTGGTAGCTGTGTGGGCTTTAGTTACTAAGGTTAGCGACTGCAGGCAGTGAAAGCACTACTTTAAGTAGAACTTTATACATCCTTTTTCCGGATAAACAGACTTGCTACTGAATAATTAATAAATCCCTGTGCTCCTTTTTGCATAATCATCACCATACAATGAAGAACAAGACAGACATTCACAGCAAGAGTTAAGGCCATTTTCATCCCTGTCTGAGTACTTAAAATACATCTGTATTGCTGCTGTGGCCACGATAACAATAAATCAAGAAACTTTGATAGCTGTGGGTTTAACTCCCCCCGACATAACACTTCTAAAAGCATTTTTAAAATAGCAGTTTCAGAACTTGGTGGTAGGAAAGTTGGTAAAGATGAAACCTCTTACAAAAATTCAGTTTCAGCAATGACGTACTTTGTGGTAAACTGAACTTTATTAAAAAAAATAATAATCAAGAAACTAACAAATGCTGGTTCTGGATGCATCCTGCTAATTTAAGACATTAACACAGTATTTCCCACATACAGACGGTTGCTTTGGGAAAGGGAAGGGAAAGGAGGAGTGTTGGTTTTTGTTTGTTTTTCTAACAATGACTTTTCTTACATGAATTAAACCCAGAGAAAATCAGCCTGACTGCAAAATAAACAGTCTGATGGCCCCAGAAAAACCTCCAGAGCAGCCACCTTTGCATCAGAACCCTGAGCACACCGAGTAGTTGGATCTACAATGCATTTTCCCTGAAGTCAGTCAACAGGAATTACTTTGACATATGTGTCTGATCATATCTTTATATACATTGTTACAGAGCCACAAATAACCAGATGATCCCCACTCATACATTTAAGGTTTCTTCTCTCCACCGTTGCCCGCGCAGCATTAAGACACACAACTGTAAAGCTTCTACCTGTCCAAAGCGATACACAGATCTTGGCATTGACCAAGAGAAATCTATTCATTAGAAATTTGGCTCAGCAATGAAAGACCATACCCAACTTCATTAACACTCTTTTTGATTTCCTTCTTCTCCACGGATAAACATCCCAAATAAAAGAGGCTACAGAAGACATGGTAGGGAGGAGAGGAACGTACTAATCTTTCTTGTATCTCCAAGTCTGACTCATAAGACACAACGAACAAGCCTCCCCATCAATACAGTTATTTGTAATGCAGAAATGCAAACTTACGTAGAAAATTGCAGAAACCTTTAGTTATCATTGTGATAGATTTATTTCTGTTAATTGATGGTGTCCTTTTGTTACTGGAGACCAGTATTAGCCAGATTAATAGTTTTTTAAAATAAATATATTACAGCTTATTAAAATATTGATATTTTTATATCGGTATTTTTTGTGTATCAGTATTATCTCACTTTAGAGACATTTCATATTTAAATCAGCAATATCATCTTAATTCTTCACAATGTCCAGAAGATTTACAAAAAACATTCAAACATCTGTCTGAACTTTCTTTACTTAAAACACTTTTCCTGCACCCAGTCACACAAAATGGCCAGTTCTCTTTACTTCAACCTCACCTTAAGAATTTGGGTTGTGATCCTGCAGGTATTTGAGAGTGTCCAAACATGTAAGCTCAGCCCATTAAGACATCCCAAAGTATAATGGATCCCAAAAATTCAAACCCTATTCATGGATGGGTTGTCAAGTTCATGCGAAATGAAATTTAATGCTTATTCCAAATAAACACTCAACTCTCAGTTCTGCATAGGATAGGTTTGCAGAAATGCTTGCCATACAGAGGTAAAAGGCTGGGTTATTAGCTCAGATACGCTACCATTGTGCACCTAGGGCTGCTGGGCTTTTGCTGCACTAAATGGTTCAGCTGGAGTTGAGCTGGCTCCATTGAAGCCAAATCTGCAGCACACTCTCCTGAGCTCCGGGCAACCAGGGCAGCTTATTTCCTGGAGTACACCACTGGACCTGATTTGGCTCTGTGCACTGACATACCACTGTTCTCAAATTAAACCCTCCTGTAGCACTAGGAATCTTGCTAATGGGGCATGCAAGTGGCTCTGGAGAAGGCAGCCTTGCATATAGCTATAGATCAGCACAGCACTAGCCAGGTCAACTAATAGCTTATTTGCATCCCATCACCTTACTCAAGGATTGCTTTCCTTTGCCCAGTATATTGTAGCATTGTTGCCATGAGTGAGATTTGGCTGAAGAATCTTCAACTTCGAAATAGCACCTAAAGACACAAATCTTCTGCCTCTTTTCTAAATGATGTTCACAGGGTCCCCCAGTGCCATGTCCTGCCCTCCAAGCTAAGCCTGGGGCAGGGGACAGCCAAGGCTATTTCAGGAAAGGCATTTACATTTGCTACTTGAAGCTGCATTGCCATCCACAGGGAGTGGGAGTTACCAGTCAATCTTCCTCTCAGGAAGAAACAGGACAGACATTTAGGGAAAAACACCTAAACTAAAATCTAAACCTGAAACTTAGATAGGAAGCTGGGCACTTCCCATTTCTACATCCAGCCTGGTTGACGGAAGTTCATCAGGCAGGTAGCCTGGCCTTACTCTTGTCCCCTAAAGAAATCCGTAAGCTCCAGTCTGCTTTAACTGAGTGCTGAGCAGTCATCAGCTTCTTGATGGATTTTTTTGAGGGTAATTATCGTTAAATAAACCTCCTCCTCTCAACGAAAAACCAAGAAAAATCCCAAGCAAAACGCCTCAAATTTTTATTTATCTCCTGGAAGGGTTGCACTATTTACCTACTTCTTTGACGAGACTGGGCTGAGATGTCTTTTTCCAAGCAAAGCTTTAATGAAAGCAACATTGTCATTAAAATTATGGGGGGTGAAGAGAAATTGTGTATTTGCTTTGGAGGGAAAGAAAAAAAAAAGGGGCAAAAATGAGAGGTTTCATAAAAATAAAAACATTCCAATAAGTTCAAATATTTAATGTCAAAATGATGGCCTGCTGCCTCGGAACTGGAGTTTATGTACTTGTGATCCCATTTTCTTGTGCAAGATGGCTCCATGCATCAAGGCGTGTCTCTCAGGACCCTCTACAGACTTACCATCTCACAGAAGAGAACGTGAACATGAGAACTAAAATAGACTCCAGGAAGGCTCCATGACAGCACAGCCAAATCAATGTGTTACTGTTTTGCATATGCTCTGTAGTTTAATGAAAAAACAACATTTCCCAAAGCCAAAAGCCACTTCTCACAAAACAAGTCACTTAGGCAATCTCCTTTTTTACTGTTGAAAATACTCTCATCAGAAACTTTCAATGAGCCCTTCGCATCTGTATTTCTACGATATGCCTTACCATAGAGCCAGAACAGAGTCAGCAGCCAGCAGCTCTTCCCAAAGGCTAACGACCTCTGCTTGGCCCACACTACTGCATTCTTGAGGCTTGGCTTTTATCTCAGCTGCCTCGTTTTGAGGAAGAAC